AACAAGACAACATTTTCATATCTAATCCCACATACTACTCTTCATAAACCCTATTATAGAGTCAGAACCCCACCCTTACCTTGGATTGAAGGTTGCTCTATAACTTTTCTGATTGAATTTTGTTCTGTCTCTTTTCCTTCTTTTCTGCAACTTTCACGTTCTCTTTCTCTTCTTCCAACCCGTATTTCCTTCTCTTCTTACTGCTTCTTCTTTTTCCTTATTATTTCTAAAAACTAATATAATAACCCTATAATTCTTATTATGCCTTAAGGGGCTTAAGTCTCCTACACCCCCTTTCTACTCCTTCTATTCTTTAAAACAAGCCCACGTCAAATAATATTATTATTCTAATATTATTCCACAACTTAATAGAATAATTAAATTCAATAACAACAACACATCAATTATTATCATAACACAACTTCACAAATAATCCAAGAATAAATTAATTAAATTACAGGCGTTACAGGTCACGTCAGGTTAATGGTTCCAACAGGTTACTGATTTGATTTATACTGGGCTCCTTCGGTTCGGATCAGATCAAAAATTTGAGCCCATCGGTGACCAGACCCGATCAAGCCCAATTAATACTTTATTATTATAATATTAATTATTAACATTATAAGGGTTTGAGGAGGCAACCCTAATTTCTCGGCTTCATTATTCTTCTTCTGAGTTGTGTTGCGTTCGTCTCCTCTCATCTCTTCAACTTCAACCTTTAGTCATATCCTCCAAAACTTAGAAAAAATAACTACCACTAAATATTCACACTTCGCGGCTTCCATCACCACCACCTTTATCTCTACCGCTCAACCTCTCTCCTACTTTCACCATACTCACAAATCAGATTTGAAACCAAAATCTTAATCCCCAAATCCAAGAAAAAAGATCGAAACTTGTTGTTAGAATATGTTGGAAAAACACCACTTGCATGTCTTCGTGTTTGTTTGTGGTCCTCAATCTGGTTTGGACCCTACCATCGTTCCCATATAACTCGTTATTTTGAGGATCTATGTGGTTATCTATTTGAATTTTGTTGGTTTTTATAAATGTGTGATTCTCCATATTAATTATTGGAAGATTTTTCTTATTCTTTTATCCTTAATATATTTTACTCCTTATTTATCTTTCATTTTAACATGTGAAAGTAGGCGAGTTATTTGCATTTTTCACATAGTTTGAGTGGTTTATATGTCAATTTATTTAGTTTCGTATTTATCAATGTTTAACCATTACTAGTATTTTTGATATTTTTGGGAAGGTTAACGTGTTTTGTAGGTCGGAGGAAGTCAACGATATGGCCAAAAAAGGAACACAGAATTTTCAGAAAGATTGGAAAAGTCTATTTTTCAGCATGTTTTCATCATGATAGACATGTGATATTTTGATCATAACTAGAGCTTTAAAACTCAGAATGACGTGGAACCGACATAAAATGAAACTAACATTAAGGGCTATAACTTTCATGAAGACACCAATAGCAAATTCAGATTTTTCTGCGCATATGAGTATCAACTCTCCCATATGCGTATGAGATTTGCAAAAAAATTTCTATTATGCCCATACACAAATAACAATGAACCATACGCATTTTCCACCTGTCATACGCCAAAATAAATCCCCATACGCCCCCATAATCCCCTCATACGTGTATGGAACCCCTATACGCATATGGGCACCCTGAGACATTGAAAAAAAAGCCCAATTTGACGTTTTTAAAGCCAGAAAGTGATTTTTTGAGGGTCAGACTTGATTATTTATGGTAAAGTGCAATTTAAAGGCTGAAGAACACACTTAAAGAAAGGTTGAGCATAACCTTCAAGGATTTTCATCATTGAAGACCTCTTCATCTTAATTCTTTATAATTTTTATTCTTATTAGTATGAGTAGCTAAGCACCTTAGTGCTAGGGATGGGCACCTGAGATTGGTTCTATTGATAATTTTGATTTGAACCTTATGTTGACTTATGCTTGATTTTCTAATAGATTTGTTTCTTTTCTGAGTTTAATGCTTTCTATCTGGGAAAAATTGAGAATGATTTACGGTAATCTTATAGGGAGGACTGTAAAGAATAACACTTGATTGAAATATTATATCTTAGATATCACCTAGTACTAGGGATACGATTTAGAAACCTATATACTTTAATAGACTAAAGTATATGTTCTTGAAAATTGAATGCTTAAATTCATATATAATTCACTATGGACATAAGAGTTAATTTGAATGTTTAAAGTTTACTCACTAAGGACTTATGAGCAGATACACTTGAGAACGATAATATGTGAAGATAAAATATGTTGCTACAAGGTCAAGTTAGGATTATTAACGAACTCATGATCAAAACCTGATTCCTAGCACACTTTCCTCATATTGTTTTCTATTTCCTTTAATTTTGCTGCTATTTAATCTTGTTTGATCAAAACAAATTTAATACCCTAATTGCTTTCGTTTAACTGAATTGAAACGATATATCACCATGTAGTCCTTGAGATCGATACTTTGAGATTTCCCATTATTACTACATTGGCAGATTAGTAATCTTGTTAATTTACTGATCAAATTTTTGTCGCTGTTGTCGGGGACTGCCAAAGGTTATAGAGTTCATAGTTTTATTTTAGTTAAAATTTTGTTGTTCTGTAACTAAAATTTAGATTTCAGTTTTTTATTAATTTGAATTTTATTTTACTAAATAAAAAGTCAGATTATTTTTGCTTCATGAACTATTCTATACTTTGCTACTAATAAAGTGTCTGAGTTTTGTAGTCATGTCTTGTTTTGATACATTACCACATGTAACTCCTGCATGTTGGTCGTCTGATTCAGGAATTACTTTGGAAGATGCGACTAAATTTTTTAAAGCGTATAATAGGGAGGTAAGAATTCTTATGAATGAATGTAAGGAAGCTAACTTTTATCCATATAGGTTTATTTAGAGAGAGTTAAAGTTGGAAGAAGAATACATGACAGAAGAATAAAAATGCATAACATCAGATGAAAAAGATGTAGTAACAATAGAAGAATTTGAGGTAAATAAGAAATATGGGGAAGGAGAAAGAAGACAACTTGAAGATGATCTAGTTCTAGAAGAAACTCAAAATTTAACAATTTATGAAGATGTATATATCCAACAAGAAAATATTCAACAAAAGAGTATCCCTAAATACTATTTTCACAACAAGGCAGACGAAATACAAGAAATTGACAAAGTATTGGATGCCATTTATGCCTTGTTCACAAAAATCAAACTGAAAATGCTTTGGAAGTAACATCATAAATAATTCAAGTTCATGGGATTACTACCAAACAAAAGAAATAAAAAAGATTATGTGTTCTTTATGTCAAAGATCTCTTCGACGGAGTCAGGCATAAATTTTCAGCTGCAGGGTGATTAATCCATAGATGCTGACAAAGGCTCCTGCAATCATCATGCAGAAACAAATATCAATTTAGAGTAAGCGACAATAAATAAGAATACTTAATGTGTTAATCTTAGAAGAAAAATATATATAGAAAAACTTATTAGTTCCTCTTGTGAAGATGGATCTGGTGTTTAAAGCTTGTATGTATGCTGCCAAACCAAAACGATATTATTACACTTGATTCAAACATAATTGACTACATAATGTTATACAATGAAGGATTGCACAAACATTACCTCTTCAACTTTGTAGTTGTCCCTTATCTTTCTATGGGAATATTCGTCATCTTTGAAGTCAATGACATAAATTCTACCATATTTTAGCTGAAAAACAACTCTAATGGCCAACTCCCTTTTCAATATTTCACCAAGTTCGTAAAGGAATTCAAGGAGATTATATTCACCATCCTGAATTTATAACAACACCTTGATTAAATATGAATTTAATGGCAATTAGTGTTAAACAAATTGTCATTAACTACCTCTATCAACTCCCTTTTCATTTGAAGAGCAGACTTTTCAATTAACTTCACATAATCCCATCCCAAAAGATTAACTTTCCTTTGAATTTCCCGTCTATTTCCATAGCTTCAAGCTTATACCTAAATCAATGGTGATGTTATAAAGTTTTCATTCATAATCACATCCCTTTCACTCAACAATCAAACAAAGCCATGACATCACTGACCTAATATGATATTTCATAAAGGACATTCAACATAAACATTCGGAACATTTCATACATGAAGAATAATTTCTAAAATAAAGAACGCAATACTTGTGGAATTGAATTTTTTGTACAAAAGGGTATCATTAGACGTGCCAATTTGTTTATCAGTGATTTTGATAAATAATCACTTAGTTTTAAATAATTACTTACGGGATAAAACTAGAAAATTCTAAGACGTTTTTGCATAATTTTTAAAGGAAAAGTGTCTGGATGTTGTTATAAGTTTAAAATCCACTGTTAAGAAATAAGGAAGTGATAAGAAAAGGATATGAAAACAAAAGCTTCGACTGTGTTAATATTTATTAGGAAACAAATATGAAAAAAAACAATAAAGGCTGAAATAATATAGTCAAAAGTAAATGAAGTGCTTTGATTAAATGTATAAAAGTTGGTGTACAAAATCATATATATTCTTCACAAACTTGTTCTCGCTCTGACTTGGGTAGTTTGAGTTCTATAGAGAATTTACAATGATATTGTCACACGATTCATAATACTAGAATCACTATATATACTAGTATAAAAATAATTACCTACAACAACTATGTCTCTAGCATTCGACATATAACTCTTTGCGTAGTTTCCAACCTTCTAACTTGCTTTCATGTGTCTTCGACATATATAATCCACATTGGATTCTAAGTTTATGATATACACATGCTATAGTTAGATAGACAAAAAAGAATACAAAAGACATATTACTTGGTTAAGTTCACGGTGCAAATTAGTGAAGAGTATAAAATGGAACGAGTATGCATGAAAAGAATATAAATGCATCATAATCGTTTTTTCCTCTATAATACTATCTGGCTGATTCCAATCATATATCCTTTATTTATCCCAATGACATGCAGACAAAGACATTTCAATCTCTCTTCAGGTTAATTTAAAAAGTGGTCCTCACATCCAACAATGCCATGAAATCACTCCAAGATTCCTCTTACTTAAGACAAGGACTTACATCAACACAAACTAACAAAATCCAAAACATACATTCACACAGAAAGTGCATGTCCAAGAAGATGAAGAAAGAACAATTGGTGTTTATCCCTCATCCTGGTTTGAGCCACCTAGTTTCCACCCTAGAGTTCGATAAGCTTCTAATCAACTGTGATAACCGTCTCCAAATAATTGTCTTACGTATTAAATTTCCAAACAATACATAACCTGATGTAAACTTTGAATCCCTTCCCATCTCCGATTCACTTTAACTCATCATCTTGATTCTTTGTAATGTTTATTTTTATTAGTATGAGTAGCTAAGCACCTTAGTGCTATGGATGGGTACCTGAGGTTGGTTCTATTGATAATTCTGATTTGAACCTTATGTTGACTTATGCTTTATTTTCTAATAGATTTGTTTCTTTTCTGAGTTTAATGCTTTCTCTCTCGAACAAATTGAGAATGATTTACAGTTATCTGTTAGGGAGGACTGTAAACAATAACGCTTGATTGAAATATTCTATCTTAGATATCACTTAGTATTAGGGATACGATTTAGAAACCTATATGCTTTTATAGGCTAAAGTATATGTTCTTGATAATTGAATGCTTAAATTCATATATAATTCACTATGGGCATAAGAGTTAATTTGAATGTTTAAAGGTCTACTCACCAAGGACTTATGAGTAGATACACTTGAGAACGATAATCTATGAAGATAAAATATGTTGATACAAGGTTAAGTTAGAATTATTAACGAACTCATGATCACACCATGATTCCTAGCATGCTTTCCTCATATTTTTTCTGCTTATTTTGATTTTGCTGCTATTTAATCTTGTTCGATCAAAATCAATTTAAAACTCCAATTGTTTTTGTTTAACTTAATTGAAATTATAACTCTATATCACCATGCAGTCCTTGAGATTGATACTTTGGAATGTCTCATTATTACTACATTGGCAGATTAATACACTTGTTAATTTACTAATCAAGTGTTTGGCACTGTTGCCCTAGACTGTCAAAGATAGTTCATAGTTTTATTTTAGTTAAAATTTTGTTGTTCTATAACTAAAATTTAGATTTCAATTTTTTATTAATTTGAATTTGGTTTTACTAAAAAAATTCAGATTATTGTTGCTTCGTGAATTCTTCTATACTTTGCTACTAATAAAGTGTCTGAGTTTTGTAGTCATGTATTGTTTTGATATGTTATCATCTGTAACTCTTGGATGTTGGTCGCCTGATTCAGGAATCACTTTGGAAGAGGCGACTAAAATTTTTAAAGCATATAAGAGAGAGGTAAGAATTCTTATGAATGAATGTAAGGAAGCTCACTTTTATCCATATAGGTTTATTTAGAGAGAATTAAAGTTGGAAGAAGAATATGTGACAGAAGAATAAAAATGCATAACATCAGATGAAAAAGATATAGTAACAATAGAAGAATTTGAGATAAACAAGAAATATGGGGAAGGAGAAAGAAGTCAACTTGAAGATAATCTACTTCTAGAAGAAACTCATAATTTAACAATTTGTGAATAAGTATATATCCAACAAGAAAATCTTCAATAAAAGAGTATCTCTAAAAACTATTTTCACAACAAGGCAGATGAATGACAAGAAATTGACAAAGTATTGGATTCCATTTATGCCTTGTTCACCAAAATCAAACTGAAAATAATTTGGAAGAAACTTCATGAATAATTCAAGTTCATGGTATTACTACCAAAAAAAAAGAAAAAAAAAAGAAGATGTGTTCTTTGTGTCATATAAGCCACCCTAACATGGGTGATGAGACGACATGCTAATGATGGTAAACGAGCACTACTTAGGAGGAAACCCAAGGGAGGTATTCGTAATTTTTTTATAGTATTTATATTTATATTAATTTAGTTGGTTTATTTTCATCTATTAATATAATAATTATAGCTTTTGTGGTTGTGTAAAAAAGTACCCAGACTGAATGCGCCTATGTGCATGCTAACTCGCCAAACTATTTTTTTATATACTTATGAATGATTTGAATGGTTTAATTTAGCTATATTAAAGGTTGACCAGGTTTACCATAACTGATTGAGAAACCCATCCAACAAGAGGTACTATGTAGGTTGTCATCTCTACCCAACATGGTGAGGACAGAAAAATCCAAACACATTGGTTCATCGTGAGAGAGTATTCTTGTATTATTCATTATTCAAAACTTATGTGCATTCTTTTCTGCGGTCATTTACATGATTCACACACTGAGGCACGTTATTTATTTTAGCCCCGAGCCTTTCAGCCATCCTTTTAACTGTTTTTATCCCTTGCATAACCCCTTTGATCCTGTTACGCTTTTCTTTGTTTTTAAACCTATATGTAACCCTTAGCCTAATCATTTCCCTACCCTGATTAGAGTAGAAGCATTAGATCTCAATGATGTGTCGAAATTAAGTTTGGAATTGTTGTTAGAATAACAACCAATAAGTTTGGGGTATCAATTAGTAATTGGGGGAGTCAAATGAATATGAGTACAAATCTCAAAATAAAAATAAGTGAGTTGGAAATAAACAAACTTGAAAAAAAAAATAATAATAACAAAGTACTCAAAGAAAAGTGAAAATCAAAAGCCAAAGTGAACTCAGTTGAAAGAAATATCCTCCATTAATTTTTAATTAGACATTGTCAATGAGAATAATACTCATTACTCCAAGTCTCAACCTATTATCCAAATATATCCTACTCGGGCCCAAGTCCCATTGCAAGACCTCAAAAAGTGTGTGTATCGTGCTTCTTGTCATCTATTTAGAATTTATTCAAGCATATGGTATAATGTTGTATACTGTGAATTTTGAGTGAAAACATATAAACACATGAGATTTTGTGAGAGTGTGCAATGAGGTGACAGGTGAAGCATTATGATCAAGTGCAAATGTGGAAAATTAATCAACCTCGATAAACAAGAAAAACTTAAGGTCATGGTAATAGAAAATCACAAAAGATCTCAGAGGTATGGTATTTAAAAAAAAAACTTTATTTGATTTAGCATGAGTAGATAGTTATCAAAGTTGCTTGAGGACAAGCAACAAGTTAAGTTTAGGGTTGTGATCAGTCACCATTTCTTCTATAGTTATTATCATTTTAATAGTTGAAAGTAGACGAATTATTTGCATTTTCACATGGTTTGAGTGGTTTATATGTCAGTTTCTTTATATTTCATATTTATCTATGTTTTAATCATTCTTGGTATGTTTTTATCTTTTTAGGAAGGTTAACATGTTTTGTAGGTCAAATAAAGTCAATGATATGGTCAAAAAAGAAAGCGGCGCTGTTGTACCCCAAAATTTGCCCTCTCATTTTCTCAATATTTCTCTCATGTGTGATCACAAAAACACGTTTAAAGAAATAAAGAAAATGTAAATTTTTGAAGATGTTAATGTGCCTTTCGATTAGATCAAGAAACAAGTTGGCTTAGATTTAGCAAAGCTTCAATTGGGCAATACAGTATCCCTTCGATCCACAAGCTGGGCATATGATTTCCTTCGAGGTGGCCTCCTTCGATTCGCAAGTCGGACCACTAAACCCTTCAAAGCAACGTACTTAGAGCATACTTCGTTTGGAAATAAACGTTTATGTGTGGTGTTGAATCTGGTCGAAGTGATCAAAATGAAAGAGGGGAGTATTCAAGGAGTCTTGTTGACTAAATCCCATGCGCTGCCAGGGTTAAGCCTGAGGCACTGTCCATAAAACTCCAAAACTGTTGCACGATAATCCTGCATTGCTGCCCTATTCCTTGCACCAAAATGGCAATAAAAGACTATCCCTCGAAAGCCACAAATTCAGTATACCCCTTTTGTTTGAACTTTTTTGTTTTCCCTCCCAAAGCATCAACTTAAGCTACCTATAAAAAGAAGGCATCAACACACGTACAAAAGGCCTGAAGATCTTTTGCAAGAAAATACTTGTGAAATCTCTCAAAATTCTCAAACACTTCTCCACATTTTTATTACACACTAAGAGGAAACCTCCCATTCATTCTCCAAGTGACCGTCAAATCACCATCCGACCCACTCATACCACCCCTTTCGATCCAGTCGCCACTTTCACCAAGTAGTATCTGGACTAGCCTCAGGGGACTCCCAACGAACCCTCATTTTCCATCAGAGAAAGCCAATACCTCTCCCTTCGATTTAAGAACCTCAAGAGGTAAGTTTTCTTTCAAGCTTAAGTCCATTTTATTTTAATATCATGTACATATGCCAATATAAAAAAATATAGACATTTCCAAACTATTGTTTTAGCCTTCGATTCTAACTGCCTATAGGATAAACATAGACATTTCTAGATTATGTTTTCGATTCTGACTGCATGTGTGTCAAAAAAGAATCAGCCTTAGTCTAGTTATGGATTGGACTTTGAAACCCATAAGTTTTCATGCTAACCCCTGGATCGTAGTTATATCTGGATATTGTATTTTTTAGACTGTAAGACAGGTTGGTTGTACTCTTCGATTGGCTTTTGCATAAGGCCTTCGAATCATACTCTGAAGACCCAATATGCATACAAAGGGCCAACGAGGAGCTTGTGGCAAAGTATGAATGTTGTCTCTTTTGGGCCTCAAGCGAATGGCAGAACTACGTTGATTTCTAGGCAGAATCGAAAAGCGTGACCATCTTGATTCCAGCTCTCAGTCGAAGGAGTCAGAAAATCCAAATCAAAGGAAGTCAAGAAACGCATATTCGAAGGGTGTGCATTCCATGCTGACTCCTAAAGCCTGTCAAAAGAAATAGCAAGAAGGGTGAGTCGAAGGTTACCGACTAACACTCCTGCAGTCGAAGGAAAAAAAAAGGCGGATTCGAAAGGGGCCATGAAGATTTGAGTCGAAGGTTACAGGCTAACACTCCTGCAGTCGAAGGAAACAAAAAAAAGGGCGGATTCAAAAGGGGCCATGAAGATTTGAGTCGAAGGGTGCTACTGCCTGGGTCGAAGAACTCATTTTCCTTTTCTTTTATTTTGTTTTTGCCTTTATATTTTCTTGCCTTTCAATATGGTTGTAATAGTGTAGGATATTTATTTCTTTCATTTTTATTGCTTTATACAAATGTTAGTAACTAGGATGTGTGGTAAGATAAAACCAACAAATAGGCCACCCTAATCAAAGACTAAATGCATGCAAATCAAACACATTATTCACACATGCACCTCTAGGGTAATCTCCCTTGTTGCCTATCGGAAAATAGT